AACGTACAAAAGTCGGTGTTCGCTCAGAAAAATTTGTATGGGGAATTAAGTAATTACTTCATAATTTGGGGTCGAACAACGGATGAGAGAGCGAACGACGCTCGTCTGTACATGGCATTAGTCTGTTCAAGAACTGATATAATATTTCAGATTTACCATGATTTAAATTTTACCATGCACATATTTCACCATGTTGAGTAATTGATTTTGAAAAAAATGAATAATAATTTTGAATACGTGCATTTGAAAATGTTTCCTCGAATCTCTTCATGACAAATATGACCAAAAAACACAATACGAACGAAGCCAATGAACAATTTATGTCAGTTAAGCATTTAAGGGGAAGCAAGTATGATAAATTCCAGGAATTACTTCAAAAATAAAAAAAGTAATAAATAAATAGTTGGTTGTAATAAAACACCATACAGAGTTACACAAACTTTTGCAAAGGCAGCCAAATTAAATATTTTTTAAAAATATATCAAGTGAATGAAATCATTTCAAAATTATAATTATATAATATAAATTATATTTTTTTATAAAAAGTTCACTTATTTCTTCTTAAGAATTTTATTACATTTGTTTATATTGAAAGGGTATTATAGTTGTGTGTGGTTCCAAGATTTTGTGGAATATTGGTCATAGACCCACCTTTTAGTATACCGATCGTCATATCTCGATTAACGGAGGCAATCTAGACATGTGTGTACAGTAGAGGCCACGAATGGACCAATAGTCCCGAAATTTTGCATGTAGGTACGATGTGGCCCAAAGACCTGATGACTTTTAGTAATGATCGGTTAATATTTAGGTAATTAAAATATACCAAAAACTTTATTTTTGTTAGTTTTTCTGTTCGCTCTAAAGGCCGCAAATTATAATAACAGTAAAACAGTATTTTTTATGAATTGTAATCCAAAACCGATGTCAAAGACACTGTCAATTTTCTTGTTTACCCGAAAAAATAAATATAAATATAGAAATTTGCAATTCAACAATTATACGTAGGAAATGCCTATGGTATTATGAGGCAATAACTAAAGACGTAATTCAAATGTATGTGACAATCACCCCCCATTTTCAGAACTTAGGTCAATGTATTTTAACTATTACAACAATAACAAGTAATACATATTATAAACAACGCAGGACAATAACCTCTTCTGCCAACCAAAAAAGAAATGACAATAACAAAAAAATATATTATTTCCCACTTTCAAAACTAAAAGTTCAATAACCCAAACTCTCTCACGCTATGGCCAAAAATTAGCACCGGAAAAAATGTATTCATGAAAATTCAATTCAGGCGAAAAAACGAATTATTAACATTTTAGCTTTAGTTTACAATATTTGTTAACATTGATATCACTCCTTATTGACTTGGCCGGCGGCCGGCTCAGTTACCCTCCCTCTGCCTTTCCCTTTTCCTTCTTGGTTATATTCTTGTATTTCATTAAACCCAGCCACCAATATCAGCATAAATTTCATTCATGTTTAGTTGGTAATTTTAGCCATTTGTTATTATTGATTTCCAAAAAAAAAATACTTGTTTGGGTTATTGACTTCTTTTTCATGGAATATTAACAAAAAAAATTGCAATATTGTTAATTTGTTTTAAATAAAAAAATACATAACCTCTGGCAGATGTTATTGATTATGAAAATGTCACCATTTGGTTCACCAGTAGAATTTTTCAACGGGAAGATAAGAACTAGTAGGGTATAATGCGTTTATGCAAATGCTGGAATAATAACGGGCACTAGCGACTGATTAAAGACTTGTTCTCTTCATTATACACTCCAAAATAAATTTATTATTCCGTTTGCAACACCTCGAAATCTTCACCCGAGTTATGCCTATTTTACTCGCTTTAATGCTTAAAAACTATTCTGGAACAAATGTCGCAGAATATGTTTTTGTTTATCTCTTTTGGCAGCTATGCCAAAACTAAAAATACTTTGCGACAAAAAATATGTTTCTCATTTTTAAAACTAAAAAAAAAATTGACAAAACAAATAGTTCATAAATATTTTATATTAGGAATATATAATACATAAAGAAATATAAAATGAGTCGTTTATTTTGAAAGTGGTTTAAGTCCATTTTAGGTTCTGATACAAATTTTGGTTATATACCACTGGTGGCCAAAACTAAAACAACAGGCAACAATCGATCATGATATCGATTAGTCGATTTCTTTTGCAAATTCTAATGCAAAATGCAAATTTTTCAGCATTAAACGAAGTGATACGGTCGTTTTTAACAGAAAACAACTCTGTCTTTTCCATAACGCAAATACAATTCTTTTTTTTTTTTTTTGGAATTGTGTTTTATTTACCACTTTGTCTTTGTTCAAAAATTGGGTCATTTAAGTTAGCAACATCAAAACAAATTCATATAAATTCAATTTCTGTATACCCAAGGATCAAATTGAGTAAATAGTAATAAAAAATAATGATTATGATTAATTTAGAAAAAATTGTTATAAGAAAAAAATCAAAAAGTTGCAATTCAATTAAAAATTGAGAATTCATAGAATACTTTTTATTTTAAAATAAATTTGCAAGTTTTTGTTTTTTTTTTGTGAATAAAAAACTCTGAAAAGATGTAAATAGGTAATTTATTCATATTCAATTGCAATTCGAGAATTTCATTTGCAATTTGAAAACTCGATTTGCAATTCGTAACATTTCACTTGTAATTCGAGAATGTAATTGGTGATTCACAACTTTTCATTTGTAATTTTCAACTTTTCATATGTAACTCAAAAAATTCCATTTGAAATTTAAAAAATTTCATTTGTAATTGGTATATTTTCATTTGAAATTTGTAGAGTTTCCGTTTTCGAATTTAAAATTAAATGTTATGAAAAACAAATGAAATATTATGTTTTCAAATCAAATGTTAAGAATTTCAAATGTAATTATTTAAATTTCAAATGGAATTTTATGAATTTCAAATGCAATACTTGGAATTTCAAATGGAAGTTTGTGAATTTGAAATGGAATTCTATGAATTTCGAAAGGTATTCTATTAATCACAAATGAAATTCTCGAATTACAACTGATATGTTATGAATTGCAAATGGATTTCTCGAATTGCAAATTGTATGTTGTGAATTACAAATGGAATTATCGAATTACATTTGATATGTTTTGATTAAAATGTGAAAAAGGTGTAGAAGTTTATATGCTATCCTGGTTAAGGGCCACAAAAGCCACAAACAAAATACCACATAACAATATTTTTGAAACAAATGGAGCCCAAACCTTTAAATATCTTAATATAGGAAAAAATGTACTTAAATCACTTTCAAAATAAACGAAACGAATCAAATAATACAAGATATTATGTGGATGATAGTCATGGGAAATCACTCACCCATAGGTGTTATGAGAAAAGCCTCCATGTGAGACCTATCAAAATAAAATTTCTATTAAATAATAAAATTATTTTATGGGAATAATTCTTAATATTTTATATTATTGATGTTTTTCATTTCCTTATATATTTAATTTATTTGCTATGTAGAAAATTTTTATTTTAACAAAAAATTATAAATTTCCATGCAATGACTCATTTTATTAAACAAAAAAGAAAAACAAATAAATTTAACCAATAAAAGACAACATTCGAATAAATCTAGCATTATTTATTAGTATATAAGCAAATATATACCAATATATTTACATATATATCAAAAATATAGAAAAAGTTTGTTGTCCTGTGTGTACCCCAAACAAAACATCGTTAATTTTCACTTTTCAAATTCTTTTCATTTTTTTAAATATATATTATATATTTTTTTTTATATTATTTCCATGTATATTTTTTTAATACAGATAGGTCACCTTAATTCGATTTGATTTGAAATTTTTTAAAATATATGATATTCTTTTGAATATGAACCATTTATATAGGCTTTACTGTTGTACCTATATTTGTTTTGTTTGCTCTTCTTTCAAGGTCAGTTATGGACGCACATACAGTGCCGTTTATTTTTTTATTATGTAGTCTTGTTCTTTATAGTTAATAGTTTTAAATTTCTTTTATATTAATTTGTCTATTGAGGATACTTTGGCGGGCACGCACACATGCCCATTTGCAACCTGACACACATACATATATTTTTTTATTATTATGTTTTTTTAAATGTCTTTAATACTCAGTCAAGGTCGGTCGTTTGGCAAAAAAGAAACAAATTAACTAGGAAATTGTCAAAACTATGATGCGACTACATTTTATCTAGCATTCACTAGAAAGCAATTTGTGTATCTTCACTCAATTGAAAAAGGGAGGTTCATAATAACAACATAACATAACTAACAACTATATAAAGCTTTAATTAAAAAATGTATGTTTTTAACTTGTTCTCATCATTTTTTTAGTTTAAAAACATATAAAGGTATGTTTTAAAGGTAAACAGTTGAGGCGCCTAAAATTATGCTATTAATAAGAGGTTTTATTTACATGATAATTTTATTAACTACATCTTTTTCACATGTTCTTCAAAACATATCAAATGTAATTTGAGAATTCCATTTGTAATTCACAACGTATATGTTTGAATTCGAGAATTCCATTTGCAATTCATAACATATTATTTGTAATTTGAGAATTTCATTTGTAATTCATAGAATACGTTTACGAAATTCATAGAATGCTATTTGAAATTCAAAGGATTGCATTTGAATCCATCCATCCATTTGAAGTTATTAAAATTCTATTTGAAATTCAAAGAATTTCATTTGTAGTTCATAAAATTTCATTTGAAATACATAACATTTCATTTGTTATTCATTCATTTGAAATTAATTCTTACGAGTGAAATGTTATAAATTTCAAATAGAATTTAATTTGTAAAAAAATTTATTTGAAGTTCAAATACAAATTTCAAATGATCGCTTGCTCCTGTCAGAACTTTATCTTAACATGGCCCCTTATAAATTACCCCAACTTTTTCAGGGTTTTAAACCAACACGACGATATTTTTTTTTTTTGAAAAAGTTATGCGGTTACTTTTGGCCACTAGTGTATATATAATATTAATTAACATACCTATCTTACATTTGTCGATAGAACGTATAATGTAATGCGCAATTTTTTTTAATATTCTAGAAAGTTGTTAAATATTTTGCATTTCTATAATATTATTTATTTTATAGAGATGTTAATTTATATGCAAAACCTAAAAACTATTAAAAAAGGGTGATATAATCCCTTGAGCTTCTATTAAATGCATCAAAACCCTACTTAAACGCCTACGCGTTATACAGGTTTAAAATGCAAAAATCCCACACCTTGATGCCACGAACAAAACACAATATTTGCATAGCAAATCGGTAAATGACAGATGCTTATCAGTTGTAAAATTCAATAAATTATTACACAACAATAAAAATGCAAATAATTTATTCTAAAAATGTTGTTTTGAAAGAAAGTGTTTAATCATCATCTGTTTAATTTGTCAGCAACAATGTTTGATATATTTTGAGAATTATTATTACTATCGTCATTCGATGAAGAACGAATAGAAAAGAACACATAAACATTGAAACGTTTCTTTTGTTTGTAATTACTTCGATTACAAACGTGTTGTCATTGTCACACGCGACACAACAATGCTTTGCCTTTGATTTAACCCAAAATCCAGAAAATAAATAAATATTTCAATATTATTTTTCATTTCATGAGAAAATAATTTGTCATTGCCCTTTTGATGAAACATACAAAAATAATAACAAAAAACAACAGCAGTAATATAAACAATTGTCCATATGTATGTATGAATATGTGTAAGACACACACTTCAGTGTGCCGTCCATTTGTATTTACCAAACTCTGTGGCATTGTACTGATTTCGAACTGCACCCCGTGTTCTCAATTTCCTTTTCAATATTTTCCCAGCTATATACATTTTGCTTTTGCTGTTCGCTTAGACATTATCACTGTCGCATGTGCGTCTCAACGTCTGACAGCAGCGGCGTCTACGACATCCATTGTCACTTGTAGTGTCTATTGCTATTTAAATTAGAGATTGAAATATTCTATTCTATTGACATCTAACAAATAAGTGAACAAAAAAATGCACCTGCACACAGAGACGAAAGGGAACCGAATCGGGTTTGCATTTTTTTCTATGGCAAATAATATTGCGTTTTAAAAAGTAAAATGTCACCTAAAAAGGGTCATAAAATTTATGGCATTAGTTGGAAATTTGTAACCTTTATAAAATACTAAAGAAAATAGTAAAATGTTCAATATTTTTATGTCCGATAATTCTACAAAATTAATTTTACAATTTCTTCATTAAAATGTTGAAAAATAATTTATTAAAACGTAGTTAATTTCGATCAGGTCGAACCTTTTATAGCCTCCACCATGAGGTGACCATTCAATATACCTACAAACGTTGGGGACATTTATAAGGTGGCCATGTTATGGTAAATTGCTTACTGGAGAAAACAATATACCAGACTAACTACCGACACCCAGGATGGAAAATAGATCTAGGAGTTCGGATATACCGAAAATGGTGCATAACGGTTGATATTAGGGATCTAAAACTAAAGCAACTAAAATTGTAATGAAAAATACTGGTTAGGTTGTCGATTACTAGAAAACTTTACTTAAATTTAAAAAAAAATCAAAAAGTTGCTTTAGTTTCTACCAATTAAAAATTGGGTCAATTTAGTTTTCCATAGAATATTTTTTGTTTCGAAGAAGTTTTTGTTTTTATTTTATGAATTTATTCTATTTATTACTGAAAACACTTTCACTGTAAGTTTATTTTCAAATATGTTACAGGTCATTTATTCAGTTTGCAATTTCAATTGCTTTAGTTTGGCCACCATATACACTGTACTTTATGAAGCTTCTGTAAATATTTGAAAAATTAAATTTGACATTTACTCTACCGTATGTTGGATACAAAGTACATTTACTTCGGAATTGTGAGATCTCAGAAAAGAAAATAATCTCTGGGAGTCAGATATTGGCAATACTTTGGATTCAATTTCAAGCTTTTTCTTTTCGGAAACGATAAAGACGATAAAACTAGCCTGGTTCGAAATCTTTATCTCTAAAAGGGGTTTGACGCAACCCCTCTAGACTCGTCATATATTGGAGGATACCTGGTCAAAATAAAACTCAATCTATTAATTTGTCATCGATATCATCAGAGTGCATCGTGGTGTTTTGCATGATTGGTCCAAAATTTATTATTCCGAAAAATTGAATATTTTTTTGTATAAACCATTTTGCATTCTCCTATTTTCCCCCCTTTAATATTGTATATACTATGAATATATACTTTCTGGGATTTACTTTATATTTTGTTTACACCACTTGGTCTTATGACTAATATTATTTACAAACAAACAAAAAAATATATATCAAGACAAAAAAAAAACTAGATAAGAAAATATTACTGCCGTTATTTGGCTTTCTTTTTTATTAAAGGCCCCTAGACAAAAAAATAATAAAACAATTAATAAAAAAATATCATTCACTTTGTTAATGTTCGGGCCATGTAAAATGCATGTGATTTCCCATTAGCTTTAATTTTTATAAAAAAAAATAAATAAAATAAAATTGTTACCGGTATTACTTCTTGAAGCAATAGACAATAAACACATAACTGGCTTATATGGTGGTCTTAATTGTTAATTGTTGCAACAAATATTTACTTTAAGATTAGAAATTACTATTTAAGTCATAAATTAGAAAAACAATGTTTTGATAAGAAGTAACGCCTTAACCACGTATCTGATAAAAAAGAGAAATGACTGACCAGGAAATAATAATAACTACAACGTGTGAAGTGCATGGACAAATGCTGCATGCACAACATTGACATTGATATAGTTTTAGAGGGGAGACTATAGTTAGAAACAAAAATTGCAATAACTTCAATTGATTCTTAAGAAAAAATGAAATTTTTCATGGATGTTAAAATTTGCTTCTATTTTTGAACCTCCCAAATGTTCTCACTACATCTATTTAGGTACTGCGTCTGCTATAGAGCTTAACATAATACATGTTGACTAGTCGATATGCCAATTGCATTGAGTGCTTTTATTATTTCTGGACCCGAAATATAACTAACAACCATTGAGTATATTTCTCTTTCACAATATCTATACAGCCTTATTCTGGATATTCGCTAGGGTTAAAAATATGCATACAATCATTTATAATATTCAAAGTCGTCATAGAATAAATATTGTGTAGATATTTTCCATAAAAATATTTAATACTTACATTTTCGTAGTCAGCTCCCTTTAAATTTATTAGCGAAAAATTTCGCACAAAATGTCATCACATTCTCCTACCACTCCCTGTAATCCAGAATAACTAACTTTGCCTCAAAACGAAAATTATCCCTTTCGAACATGATTCAGAATGAGGGGAAAGTGAAAATGCGAAAAAAAATCGCTGCGATTTCTGGTTCAGAATAATTTTAAAAGGAAGAGCGAACAAATTCACGGTGAATTGATGTCCATAATAAGGCTGATAATTGATTATCTCAATATCTTCACATTCTCCCACTCCCTGTAATCTAGAATAACAAATTTTTCCCCAAAGGAGATTTTTTCGCTTTCGAACAAGATTCTGGTTTCAGATTTCAGAAATTCACGGTGAATTGTTGTCCAGAATAATACTGATAATTGATTATCTAATATCTTGATGTTATAATCCATTAATAATTTGTCAACAATATAGCGTATATTTTTCAAAACCAATAAATATTTGAAAGAATTGTCAATTAAGGCAATAAACGATTATAGCGGATTACTGACGGTAATCGTTTCTTCAAAACCCACCGCCAGCCAACAACTACAACAAATATACTTTCTTCTCCTTTTCTTTCAAAATAAATTCATTGCAGTTTTGCTTATCATTCTAATTAGAACAAATAAACATGTCTTATTGATTATCTCTATACGGATTTTTCTAACCGACAATAACTGTTATATAAATATTTGTAAAATATATGCCGACAGTTTTTCTTGTTCCTTTGTTGTTGATAATTTAGATAATTACACTTGCATATTTGCGTTATCTATTTTCTGTGTAACTAGCAACAAATAAGTACGTAAAATTTTATTTTTATTACTACAGAAAAAACCTAAAATAACAAGGTGATAATTGACCTTGAAATGAAAGTTAAATAATCCCTTTATTGTGAAAAGGGTGCAATTCAAATTTCAAGAACAAAATAAAAATTTAGGAAAATATACATTGCCCAACTTCTTTATTTAATCCTTTTGTAACCTTCCTCTTACTTTTTATTTTATACATTATTTTATATTAATCTTCTCAATTTCTTTTCTTTTTTACAGAGGCATAAGTTCCACGGTACGAAGATGCATCGAAAAAGAAACTGGCAAAGAATTTGCCGCAAAAATCATTGATTTAGGTGCTGGCACAGAAACCGGTGATACAAATCCATATCATATGTTAGAAGCTACTAGACAAGAAATCTCAATACTCAGACAAGTAATGGGTCATCCCTATATAAGTAAGATAATGGTAACAATTTCTCGTGTACATAAATTTTAATTTAAATTGTTTTTCTTATATTTTTCGACAGTCGACTTACAAGACGTTTTTGAATCGGATGCTTTTGTCTTTTTGGTATTTGAACTATGTCCCAAGGGTGAACTATTCGATTATTTAACATCTGTTGTAACATTATCGGAGAAAAAGACCCGCACCATAATGAGGCAAATATTTGAGGGTGTTGAATATATACACTCAAAGAATATTGTACATAGAGACTTAAAACCCGAAAATATTCTATTAGATGAAAATCATAATGTGAAAATAACCGATTTTGGTTTTGCGAGGCAACTAAAAGATGGTGAAAAATTATCAGGTAAACTGTAATGAAAAGACACAAATGATGCGACATAAAATTAATGTTTTTAACAAATTACAGATCTTTGTGGTACCCCAGGATATTTAGCACCCGAAACACTTAAATGTAATATGTTTGAAGGTTCACCGGGCTATGGCCGAGAAGTGGATATGTAAGTATTTAAATTTATTTCTAGAAACTGAGATGCGTGTCTAACTTCTATGATGGGACATACCAATAATTTTTTTTATTTTAAATGAAAATTCTTTCCATTTTTATTGACAATTCGATAAAAAAAATTATCTTTTCTTTTTAGTTGGGCCTGCGGTGTCATAATGTTTACCTTATTGGTAGGCTGTCCGCCTTTTTGGCATCGCAAACAAATGGTTATGCTGCGCAATATTATGGAAGGCAAATATAGTTTTACATCACCAGAATGGGCGGATATATCAGGTATGAATACAAAACATTTATAATTAAAACATACATACAAAAGCCTTATTAACCCATTACATAGTATTAAAAATCATTATTATAATTCGAGTACGATTATAATGAACACCGGTTATAAAGAACTTTTCTTATAGCGAACACATTTCCCGGTCTCGAAGTTTTAAGACATACTTTTCATATAAATCTTTACTCTTATAGCGAAATACGAATATAACGAACGATTTATTCGGTCCCAACATTCAGTTTTCATACGTTTTTTATCACTAAAACGTAAAGGTATGCAGAACGAAGATCATAAAAACAAATACTTTATTATCAGCCTTATTCTAGACATCAATTCACCGTGAATTTGTTCGCTCTTCCCTTTAAAGTTATTCTGAAGCAGAACTCGCAGCGAATTTTTTCTCATTTTCACTTTCACCTTATTCTGAATCAAATTCGAAAGGGGGAAAATAGTTATAGGGGAAATTCGCTTTGGTGCAAAATAGTTATTATGGATCACAGGGAGTGGGAGAATGTTATGGCAAATTTATCGTGTGCATGTTTTAAGGGACGAAATTAAGGATGAGGGGCATATCATAAAATAATTGACCACTTTAAGAATTTGCGGAGATAAAATATTGAAATTGAATAAAAAGACACACAATTATGTAGTGAAATAAAAATGTGCGAATTAATTAAATTCAATCGCAGATTTCTTCCCATTATTCGCTGTGTCTTTGACATCGTTCAATGCGACTTTTGTCATCATAAAAATGTTCCTTTATTTGTAATCTGTTGTAGTTGTTGCACCGAATTGCATCAAAACAATAAACAGCTGTTTCATGATTCACATCCCGTGGTATGTTGCCATATTTTCAAGCTTTAATTTATTTTTTTATTAATTACAAAGCAGTTTTACAGCGGATTCTTAATGTTTCACACCACACACATTACACCTTAAATAACAATATGGCAACAGGAATCTTTTTTAACCACCATTTTCGGAAATTCGAAACCACATCTCGCATTTTTTGCTTCTCCCTATTCATTCACAAGCGAGATCTCTCCCTAGCGAATATCCAGAATAAGGCTGTGTATTTATTTTTAATATTTATAACACAACCACTAAAAACATAGTTCCTTATATGAAAAATTGTATGTTCTTCGTGTTGCGAGATTTTGGAACTACCTTCCTATTGTGTTGCGAATTTTTCCGCATTCAAATAATACGTTTCGTTTAAAATTTTAATTTCATTTATTTTTTTCCGAACTGAGTTCATATATATTTTTTTCAGTTATATTTTTTTTAAATAATAATATAAATTTATCATAGATCAGATTATATCATTATCATTATATATTATTTTTTATAAATTTATATTATAAAAAATATTTAATAAATATTAGAGGTTATTTATTTTATGTTCTTATTTACCTTATTTCCAACACATGCAATTTTTATTTACATTACTGTATTTATTTTTCTTTTTCTTCACCGCAGAAGATCCAAAGGATCTGATAAGAAAATGTCTAGTCGTTGATCCTGCACAAAGGATAACAGTACAAGAAGTATTACAACATCCATTCTTTAATCAAATGGTAAGTTTATGTTTTATTGTAATCATATTTGTGAATAGAAGAAGAAAATATAAAACAATACTAGGTAATTGTTAACTGAGTATAGATCACAAGTCAATTGTTTCGATACTTTTTTCTAATTTCCATTACAACAAAATTTCTTTAACAAACATCATTTGTATAACAAAATGTCGTCATATACATATCATGCTGTAGTCTAATCACAACACCAACCACATAATCATTAACATCATTCATTTGTAATAAATTTTTAAATATTAAATTTCAAATTTTTCCAAATTTTTTAACACCCACTTTTTTAAATTAAAAAAAAATCCCTTCTTCATCACATTTTAATTTTCTTACCCCTACTTCTTAACATATTTCTCAGACACCCACCTAGTATTGCTTTTGTTTTGTTTAACTCTATTTTTTTAATTAAAGTTTCGTTTAGTTTCTGTTTTCGTTTCAAATTACTTTTTTTCTATACCTATTTTTTCAAGTTTTATTTAATTTTTCATTATTTTTTATTATTCTTTTTTATTTTCATTATTTTCGCTCCTCAATTGTCGATGATGTTCATATTTCTATTCAAAACAAAAAAATATTATAATTATAAAAAATTTCTTAAATAAATATTTAAAAAACAATTTTATAAAAACACAATCCAATCAACAATTATAATTTAAAGTTGTTCGAGCAAAATATCGACGGTCTCAAGCGCAGTCTCTCACTCAAATCTAGGAGAATGAGTCGCATCACTGAAATTGCAATGGTAACGATTTGTTCTTGGATTTATCAAAAATGTCAACACTGTCTCAATAACCTAATGAAACGAGTGATTGTGCTTTAATTTAATATTTAAGTTTTGTGACTTAATTGTTACGTTTTGTTTTGTTGAACGAACTATTTTTTTTTATTTGTCCTTGTTTTTGAATTTTGTTTATTATCCTACTATCCCCATTTTTTATTGCTGTTGTGTTTTTTGTCATTCATTAAGTGTTATGTTGTCCTATATTATTATTATGTTTTTTTTTTTAAGAATTAATTTAGGCGTGTTTGTGCATGTTATCTTTCTTATAGAGAGATATTTGTATATATACAACAACAAAGGTGCATATATGGGAAACCAAAATTTTGTAAAATTTCTAAGTTGAAACAAAATTTTTTAAAATTGCCCCAGATTTTTTATTTAAATTTAAGTTATCATTAGTTGAATTTTATTAGCATCACACAGCGAGCGTCATCATCGTCACTGAGGATAAGTCTAGAGTAAATGATACCGGTAGGGGAATTTTTGACAACTCCACAAAATTTCCAAGACAGTATCAGTAACGAACCATCGAATTTTCATCATCAGCATCATCATCAACTTTAAGCGGTTCATACTTGTAGTGCTTTTTCGGCTTTTTCATCGAAAAAATTTCTCATTTCTAAAATCATCATTCTTTCTTTTTTTCTCTTAAAAATTTACTTTTCATTTAGTTTTAATTTTACATTTGAAATTACCAAAACCATAAACAAACAAACAACCAAAAAAAAAAAACGACATTATTATCCAACAATCCCTATTACCAAACATTTTTTAGGTTTTATTGCCCGAACCCTCGTTTGATGGTCAAAAAACTACTTATCATCTGCGTGAAAAAAGCATTCATACTATTCGACAATATTCCAAATTCTATCAAAATAATTCCACTAACCCCAACAATTATCCTGGACAAAGTACATATTCCATCAATGCCGCCAACAACCATAATTTCCCAAACCTCGACAATGTCGCCACCGCAAGTAATGCCACAAATGCTCCATACATAATGCCCGCTGGTACGGGACAACATCAACACAACAACAACAATACTCAACGTGATAAACAACATATTTTCCAACAACATCATAACAACAATACGACGATATATGGTTCACAACAATTGCAACAACAGAGTGGCTATATTATGGATTATTCTCAAAATTGCTCCAATGCAGCTGCTGGCTATTTTGCAATGCCACATCCACCGCCTGCCCACCAGCAACAACCACACCAACATCCACCGTTGCAACATCAAGCGACGACGTTATATCATCAGTTTTCATCTCAGTTGTCTAATTGTCCACCTCCTCCTCCCACTACAGAATATTTCTATACACCCCAGGCAGGTTTTAATTTTCTTTTTATTATTTGAATATTTTTTTCTTTTCTTTTAATTTTTAAGTTTAAGATATATTTGGCTGCACTACTATTTTATTTTGGTTTTTTTTTTTCTTTTCGAAAACAAAAGTATAAAAAAGTACTTTATATGCACCTTTAAAAAAGAAAGTAATTTTAGAATTTAGTAACAGTAACATAATGATGTGTGTATTATTTACATGTATAATATGTATGTGTGCGTGTATGTGTTTATTTTATAATGTATTGCTATTCTTTATTATTTATATTTTTTTAGTTAACCATTTTACAAACAGACAAAAAATAATGTGGTATGGTTTCTACGAAATAGGAAATATAGGAAGTAAATGCACTTAGAAAGAATAATTTTTGTTCAGTCATGAGTTTTTAGTTATGGTACTTGAAAAACTTAGGAAAAAGTTAAAAGTTTTTTAATTAATAAAAAGTCTATGAGTTTCTAAGCCTTCATTAATGATAGAACTCTTAGTGATTTTTCTTCTAGTGCTATACAGACAGACGAATTTCTTTGTAACGAACAAACTATAGCATCGTTAATCTTAACAAATTTATTGGCACGATATCTACTACACATACAGCCCTATTCTGTATATTTGCTGGGGAGAAATCTCGCTAGTGAAAAAAAAATCGCTTTCACATTCTCGCCTTATTGTGAATGAATAGGTAGAAGTAAAAAATGCGATATGCGGATTTGAATTTTCTAAAATGGTGATTCAATAAAAGACGTGTGTTGCCATATTGTAATTTAAGGTGTAATGTGTGTGTTGCCCCATTGTAATTTAGGCGAGTTCACTTGTGGCAATTCATATCGTTTTCTATTGAGCTTGCTTCATGCGTCTATACATTTTGTGACAATGTTCTGGATTGGTATTTCAAATTACTGACACTGCAAACAAAATAAACAAAACGAATTGCCATAACTTTGCCGGTACGAGCAATTTTTTCAATTTCTATCCCCCTCTCTCCAGCAAACAAAGACATGCCGCAAGTAAACTCGCTTAATCTAAATTGGGACTAATATTTTTCAATATTTTATTTCTGGATTTCCTTTTTTAAAATTGTTACTTTTTATTGGCATTTAAAGTTTACAAAAAAAAAATCTTTTAGATATATCACCCATATAACGTTACCTCCGATTTTTGATATATGAAGGATCTTGGACACATTTTCAACCAAATTGGCTGTAATTTGATATTTTGACTTCTCATTAGATAGAAAACCTTCCTACTAAAATTTATGAATATCGGTCCACATTTTGGGTGCAGGTCCCATATAACGTTACCTTCCGATTTTTGATATATGAAGGTCCTTGGACACATTTTCCAATCGAATTGGCTGTAATTTGATATTTTGAGTTCTTTATGCATAGAAAGTCTCTCAACCAAATGTAATAAATATTGATCCACTTTTAGTTATAGCCCCCTTATAAGGGTGCCCTGAAATTTTCTGATTTTCGTTAATTTGAGGATTTTGATCACATTTTCCAACCGAATTGGCATTTTGACATTGTGGGTCCGCATTAGGTAGAATCTCAATCTACCACAAATCATCTATATCGGTCCATGCTTAGGCTTAGATTTCTTATAAATGGTCTCCCAATTTTCGATATTTTGAACACATTTTCCAACCGAATTAGCTGTAATTTGATATTTGGTGGTGTCCTCGCAGGGTTGAAAAGCTCTCAACCAAAAATAATGAAAATATTAGGAATTCGCCGTAAAACTACTTTGTAATCAAAAGAAAATAAATTAAAGTTTGAAAATATGGCAAAATACAATATGGCATGTGAAACAGCTGTTTATTGTTTTGATGCAATTTGGTGCAACAACTGCAACAGATTTACAAACAAAATAAAATTTTTTCTATGATGGCAAAACCCGCATACCTATATTTTGTGTATTCACCTCCCTTTAAATTTATTAGCACAAAATGTCATCACATTCTCCCACTCCCTGTAATCGAGAATAACTAATTTTTCCCCTAAGTGGATTTTCCCCTTTCGAACATGATTCAGAATAAGGGGAAAGTGAAAATGCGAAAAAAATTGTTGCTAGTTCTGGTTCAGAATAACTTTAAAGGGAAGAGCGAACAAATCCACGGAGTATTAGGCTGAATATCTTCCAAAGACGATCACTATCGATTTAATAGAAAAATTAAATTAAAAGCTCAGTCTATGATGTTTTAGGTCCCATATTCAATAAAAATACTTTGGTATATAATGAATAAATGTTCTCGTTAGCTGTGTTAATTATATTATCCACCTGTGCCATTGGATTTATTTGTGTGCTAGTATTTATAAATATATAGGATACAAATATTGTTGCTAGGTACATGACTGGACTTTGGATATATCATAAATATATAATTATAATGAATGCATTTCGTTTATACTCTCAGTATTTGTAGATGTGAATGAACAAAATGAAAATATGTACTATAAAAAAATTTTCATTAAAACACTCAGGGAAATCATTCAAACGGAGAATATACACGTTTTTATAATATTACCAATTTCACAAACATTTATATACAAAAAAATATGTATACAAATAAACTAAGTTTCGATAATCGCCATTATAAGGTAAGAGAGCATGAAAATGAAACTATGCAAACATTGCTCTGAATATAATGCTTAGGCACTTTCTACATAAAATTATATTTCTATCAATATTAAATTTGAAACTGATCAGAGATGTGCTTATAAATATCATGGCTTTAAGAAAAAAAATGTTACAACAAAATTTATATTTCGAAGAATGCCATCAAATGTAACACAAATCTCAAATGTTTGGTCATCCAGTCGCACAGTGTTCTGCAATAGCATTCTATTATATATTTTTTACCATAACAAAAAATCACTAGGCTCAAATCTAAAGAAAATAATAGCTATTATGAAGCATTACTTTAGTTCAACACTTCCCACCTATGTAGTATTTTTATAATCAAAAAATTGCAATATATATTTATATTTTATAATTTATTCACCATTATTCTGTACAAATTTAATAGTGTTTTACTTGAATTATTCCCAACCACTAAACCTTTTTTACCACAACCACCACAGCCACACTGAATGACTTAAACTGTCTCTGTCTGTCTCCATAACTCTGTGCATTGTTACATATTTACTTGTATATACATATTTATATTATGAACAATACAAAAAAAAAAAATATTTTTATACATACTAAACAAATATAAAAATCGTAGAGCCTTAATTATACAAATAGAAGATTAAGAAAAATATGGATATTGAAAACAAAAGAACAAAAAAATATGAATTTAAAAAATAGCAGATCCAAAGCTCCCATGTATTTTTGGCAAACGAAAATTTGTTATGTCCAAATTCGGATATTTTTTATGTACACTTTTCTTGGTTTAAATTCTTGGATCAAGTAGGCTGCCGAAATAATTAAAGAACTTCACTGTTATTATTATAATTATTGTTATTATAATTATTGTTGTTATTATCATTATTATAATTATAATTATTATAATAATTATTGCTATCATAATTATTACTAACTGATTATATAACTTCATATTATAATAATTATTGTTATTATAATTATTATTATTGTAATTACTATTATAATAATTATTTTTATAATTATTATACTTATTAATTTAATTATAATAATAATAATTATTATTATTATTGTAATTATTATTATAATAATAATAATTATTATTATAATAATAATTATTATTATTGTAATTATTATTATAATAATAATTATTATACTTATTATTATAATTATTATTAAATTAAATTTTTTATTTAATTATTGTTATTATATTATATTTATATTATTATAATTATTATATTATATTTATATTATTATAGTTATAATTATTGTTATTAAATCTACGCTATGCCATCTTTGTTTTACAAAAATATTGCATTTATTAAAAAATTTCCTTATAGCTTTGAAGAAAATTTATAAACTATTACGACCCGCATCGATGAATATCTCTGAATTTTGAGACAAATCAACGTTTTGAAAGAACCAAAAAATACATGGTATATGCTTTGTGAGATCCATTCTTTTAGATAATTTTGAAATATCCATATATTTTTCTTAAATTCTTCGTATTTGGCTTTCAGTGTTTATTTGTTATATCTACTGATCCAATGTTATATATCTATTCGAACTTTAATTTTAATTTATTTCAATTTTCTTTTACCAACAGCTTCGTAAGCAGAGTCGTTTTAATGCCCGTAAGAAATTCCAATTTGCCATATTGGTGATTAGAGCAGTTATCCGCATCAGAAGATTGCGTTACACTGCTGAACCGCTACATGTTGAAGAGGCTATACGGGATCCTTATAGAGTTAAGGTATTGCGTAAGGTGAGTAATGGATCAGCAATTAAATGCCATGCGTTTTTTTTATCAAATTGTTTCTTTCAATGTGGATTTTTTTTATTAATTTCTTTCTCCTCATTCTTTTCTCTACAGGTTATTGATGGCTGTGCCTTCAGAGTATATGGTCATTGGGTTAAGAAGGGTGAAGGCCAAAATCGTGCCGCCCTCTTTGAAAATACCCCACGCACTGAACTCCATGCCCTGTATATTAACAATTTAAGTCGATAGTTTAGCTCATTCACTCCTTGTTTTGTCTTTATATTATTATTAATTACAACGCCAACCACCCCGCATAATAATTGTTTGTTTTAAAGTGTATTTATATATATGACATGTTTTGTTTCTATGAAAAAAGACCTGACTTTGATTTTCGCCCAAAAAGAAAAGGAAATGATCTTAAGCCATTTTTTAAATTTGGCTTTCATTTTTTGAAAATCCAAAAAAAAAAACACAAATTTTTTAACAAAATTGCTTAACCCTTAATCAACCAATCATTGAACAAAATATATACATATTCTAAATTTGTTAAGTTATTATTTTACATTTTAAGTTACCACAAGCTTCTCCCCCAATTATTATTTAGTTGTATTTCAATTGTAATTTACTTTAATTATTTTTAGTTGCTTAGTTTAGTGCAGTTGCTTTTTTGTTGTGTTTTTATTTTTTAGCAAACCGGAAACATATCAAAAGTTGAATCTTTTGAATAAAAAAAATTGAGTCCTTTATACAGAAAAGAAATTGTACTTTTAAGTTTTTTTTTTTTAGAATTGTTTGTTTAATAAAAACACATATTAATTGTAATTTAAGAAGAAGAAGAAGAAAAACGGAAAACAAATAATTAAAATGATTATTAAAAAAACACCTAAACCCTATTGCATATTTCTCTATTTATTAATAAATAAAGATTTTTTTGTTTATATTACATTTACGAAATTTTGTTTGTCATTTTTTGTTTGGTATAAAGGGTCCATAGTGGCCATAGAGTTGAACCACCCTCTCCGAAAGCAAATTCGCGTCTCGCCCCACGAATTGTAGCCTTCGCCCCACGAATTTGTAGCCTTCGTTGAGGCCACAACAATCACCCCTGTGTAGACATTGCTCGCCCGTTATTCGGGTTTGAAATTGATGTGCTTGTAGCAGTTACAGCTGCAGGTGCCAGGGCATCCACACCTAGAGCAGCCGGATCACAATCGCTTGATCTCGACGATACGTGGCTTGTGATCTCACCAATCTCCTACTAGGCGCGGCCGAACTTTTTATACCCTTTACAATGAGGATGACATTTAAAATATCTATAATTAATGGGTGCTCCTAGGAGAAAACTCGTGTTATGATAGGGCCTTGAACAACCCGAAAAATACATTAGAAAAATATGATTTAAATTTGGGTCAATGAGAACCCCAAAAACCAAATTGCAGGCAATTCGGCAGCCAATGTTAGGGGTACCATAATATGGGGACTACCCTGAAACTTGGGTAAATAACAATAATATCTTTTGCTAGCGAGATTTGACACCCAATGAGAATACAAAATACCAATTTACACCCAATTCGGTTGAAAGCGTGTCCAAAATACGGAATGTTTGGGGTTATAGTTATATGGGGAATACCCTGAAATAGTATTCATTACGGAGATGTGAGAACCTCAAATAAAAAATTATAGCCAATTTGGTTGAAAACCGTGTCGAAAATATCGAATACTGTGGGTATATTTATATGCGGGCTACCCAAAAGGTTAGGTTAAGGGATGTACGACTGTAGTTTACAGCCGTTCAGTTAGAGACATTTGTCCTTTGTGCTCATTCTCGATTCCTGAGAAGAATAGGAGTGAAGGAAAATGGAAATATATTGGAAGTTTATTATTATTATTGCCGTCATACAGACGGCAATAATCCACTCCGTTAATGTCCCATTTAAAAGTGAGATATTTAATACGGCAGTGGCCTGATGATGATCCCCAAAACAATTTTTATCTCCCTCTTACTATGAGAAAACAAGGAAGAAGTTCTACGGCGTGATTATTCTGGCCACAGAGTTTTTGAGATCTTGCACCCGGTTTCTATTACCGACTACCTCGCAGTAGCTCATACGGATTTTGTCAATAAAGTAGCCAATAATAGGTAACCAATATGATGCTGCGAACCCTCTCTAGCAAACTCATCGGCTATGTCATTCCCTTCTATGTTACTATGTCCTGGAACCCAATGATCAACTTCTGAGTTAATAGTACACGGCTTGAGAGCCTAAAGGGCCGCCTGACTAACGAAATATATAGTCACGGGTCCCATGTTGTCTAAAAAGTAACAAATTGGTGTCGTGATCAAAATTCAGTGAATTCCAAGCTGGAGCTAATTTTATTTATATTGATAGTATTTCTAATTGCAGAGTCTAGTAACCTTTCTAAAGTCTTAAGTAGAAAGTTGGTCTATAGTCCTTAAAGAGCGTATGACTTGGCTTCCCGACCTTCGGAATGCAGGTCACCATTACCTCTTTCCATTGGCTTGGTATGTACGATAAAAGTAGACAAGCTACCCCTCTTGTTCATCGGCTTGCTTGCAAACGGGATAACAAATTTATTAAACATCCCTCTTATCGGGGAGTGTATTAAAAAGTACGGGAACTAAACATTAGTATCAGCGGTTTATTTTACAGAATCCGTAATGATAACAGCTGATTTTATTTTTAAACGTCGCTTTTCAGCGGTTATGCATCACCCTTATTCGTAAACAAAAAATTATTTTTGTCGTTTTGTTTTGAATTCGGTGTTTATCAGTCATTAACTGCAGTGTCTTTCTATTCGCAGTATGTGGAACGTTTTTAAATTCGGTCGGTTCAGTCTCGTCACTCCAAGTTAGAAGACGTCTTTTTGTTTCTTGTCTTTGTGGATTTGGTTTTTTGCATAAAATTAATAAATAAAATATATAAAATGAGTATTAACTGGATAAAAATAACAGATAGGTATGCCAGCATTTCAACTTGCTTGTTCTCTTAGGAAAGGTTACATTTATATCAAAACATCATCTTCTTTCAATTTTCTAGGGCTCGGGAAGGTATTAAAATCATAAATTCCCTGCCATACAATACCTTTAGCACCGTTCTCCAATATGTCCATCGTCAAATGCTCACCACTGTCTCGGGCGGTGATACCAAAGGTGAAAATGCCTCTTCGACTGCTGAAAACGAAAATGCCTTAGAGGAATTGGAACGTTTGGTGGGTGTTCCACGTCCCGACTTTTTGCTATTGATAAAAACATTCTCGTATATATTGCGACGCACCAGCACCTATATTATAAAGCCTTCCCTATTGCAAGCTGAATTGCGAGATAAACTCCAACTGCAGGATGAGGCAAAAATCGATGCCATCGTTCGTCTATGGGTACGACAAACAACACCCATTATGAACAACTTGGCAAGAGATTGTTATGAATCGAATGAAATTGCTGATGTTGCCTGGAAATTGAACGTGGAAATCTCGTCACATTGCCAGCAAAGGGAAAAGACAGCATTGGCAGTGCTGCAATTGAAGACGGGTGCCGGAGAGGACATCAATCTGGAAATGAATCATGATGAACTATTGCAATTGTATCAACAATTCGAATGCATACAAAATGAATTGGATGCCATGAATGCTGCTCAACCAAAACCCAATAAAGCTACTGTGGCCAAACCAGCTCAAGTTTAAATGTGAAGATAGGGGAATTTTGGTGGTCACATCAGTATTAGATTAATAATTAGTATATGTATTTGTATATTTAGATGTTTGCTACAGTTTGTTACATGTTTCCAAATAAGTGCAATAAAAGACGTTATATGTTTAGCTTAAAATGTGTATAAGTCGATAAAACTGAATTTTGAAATTGAAATTGGCCCACCATAGATATCGAGCCATATTCGCCAAAAAAGTAATCCTCATAATAATCGATTTTCGTTTTATTTGATAGATCAATAGTTCTCGATAATATACATCATCTCTAAGAATTTGGTGGCTACAGATTTTTTCCAATTCAATTCAATTTATTTCATAAACGAGAATCTAGCCCAAAGGGTCTAGAGCGATTCAAAAAACAACAAAATATAGACTACTCCAAAAGCTTAAAACTAACAATGTATTATCTTAATAATATCTTAACGTCTATTTAGTTGGAGGGGTTCACAACCATTGTACTTCAAAAACATTTTTATTGTTATAATTAGATTATTTGATGTAGCGACCTAGCACATAGGGCCAAGGATTACAATATTATATCTACTGTCAAGATACCGTTTTTTACCGTTTTTATTTTACAACAAAAACAATTTTATCGTAAACACATTTAATCAGATTGTTTATATTTTTGTTAAGCCCGCGTGTGGGTTACGTTATTTTTCTCTATTTTAAAAATAAATGAAACATTAAAAAACACAATTATATTAGTAATATATTAGAATATTCGTACTTTGGAAGTTTTTAGATAATATGTCAAAGGTATATATTTGATTTAAGTAAAAAACTAGTAAAAATTTCGTTAAGTTTGACCGGCCTGGGCTTTTTATAACTTATACCATGAGGTGTACATATAGAACACCTGTAATCCTTCATGACTTTAGAGATATGACAGATTATGCCACGAAAATTGTTTAGTAGATTTAACACAAATTAAAGCACATTCGTTTAAAAAACGGGCCCATAATCCCCAAAATACAGAATAATGGAGGGTAACGTTATATGGGGCTATCCAAATAAATGTGTCAATATTTATCAAGATTTGTTAGCAAATGATATGGGGCTTATTCCAAAACGTGGACCGATTTTTGCAATAACAAACATCCTAGGATTAATAGCAACGTATGTATGTGCACAATTTTAAAGCTCTATCATAAATTTTGTGGTCTCAATTGTAATTCAACAGACAGACGGAAGTGTATAAATCGACATCGAATTTTATTCTGATCAAGAATGTCAAGACTATTTCGAGGTGTTGCAAACGAAATGACAAATTTAATATTCGCTCCACCTTATGGTATATAAAGATCGAATATTCAAATACCGGAAACCGATGAGGAGAATAATGTTTAGAATTATATATAGGGGAGGCTGGGGCACCTTCGTCACTTTTTGTTTAGATCTCTATCTCAGTACTTATTCAACAGATATAAAAAACTTTATGGCTGATTATTGTTCTCTGATACTTATTTTTAAAAACTAGTACCAAAAAAAATATAATATATTAGTATTAGTTAAACATGTTTACAGTTATGTAAAAAAGTCAAATTCGCCGATTGTGCCTCTCCCGGGGAAGCTTCGGCATTTGATGCGGCACATTCGGCCTTATCACCACTATAAGTGTGGTTGAAATTCAGGTCCTCTAAATGTTCCATTTTGTTTTAATATGCGACTCAAAGTTTGACTTTTAAGGCTATATTTTCTAGCGGCTGACATTGACATCTCAATGTTACACACACTATCACAAAAATAGCTCTTTTCTATCACATTTTCGTCAATACAAGTACGTTTAGTCTTGTAATTTCGAACCATATTAAAGGATTATTTTTAAAGACAAACTCAAGACATTTTAAGAAAACAATATTGCACTATCTGCTTATGGCCGAATGTGCCCACTTCAAAATGCCGAATCCGGAAATCCGGAGGTACTTTTTATAGTTATTTTCATTTATTTCTATCAATATTCTGAAAACATTATATTTTTAATTATTTTTATAAGAAAAAAATTAAAAGTTTTATACACGAAATACTTACGAAATGAAATGGAAATATTACAAAAATATCTGAAAAAAAACCGTGCATCTAAATAACTTTATTAGCCAGATTTGCGACATTGCCGAATGTGCTCCGATACCGAAGGTTCCCCGTCTCCACTACTTTGAAATTGTATTTAAATTAAAAAATATTTAATTATTTATTTTATGTTATTTCTAATGCTAATATTTTATTTAAAGTATATCTAATTTAAATTAAATGAAAATGTTCAAAAATTTTGTATTAACCCTCACCTTTTTTATTCACCCTTTGCCAGCCACACAGCGAAAAAACGTAACCCTCTAAAACAACCGTTATATTCCAAAAATCGACTCAAAATTGCTTAAACTAAGTATTGTATGTAAAACAAAACAACAATCCTAAATTTCAAAATAATAGCTTTATTTAATCTGAATTTATTAAAAAAAACTTCTCCTGTAAAATTTCAAATTTGAGGGTTACGATTTTTTGGCGAATATGGCTCGATATACTGAGAGGTACTTGAAATGAAAAATATATATATATATATAGATGTGTTACAAACGGAAACACAAAATTAATATACCCTCCATACTATGGTGGAGGGTATAAGAAGGGGGTTATATGGGTACTACCTCTAAAAGGGGGTGACCGATATTGATAATTTTTAGTGGAGATATTTGGTACTCAATAAGAACCCAAATTTCAGCGAATTCGGTTGAAAAATTCAAGAATCCCAAAATACCGAAAATTGGGGGTACCCTTATATAGGAGCTATGCCTAAGCGTGTACCGATATATCCCATCTTCGAACTGGAACTGCCTACAGACAAAAGACAACCCTATGCAAAATCACAATCATGTATTAGAAATTGGTTCATTAAAACCAACCAAAACCAATTTCCAAATTTTCCACGTTTTCACATAATTCCTCATCATGAATTTTTATGATAGTGCTAAATGTATATCCAGTGTATTCCTGTACTTACACTTCCTAAATAGGTTTTTTACGATCTAAGAAAATTATGTCTAAATTCCAAATATACATGACGACTAATGATGTGCATAAATAAAACCACCATATCGAAATTTCATATTATTCATATTTATTTTTATTTTTTTGTTGTTGTTTATTTTTATCTTTTCTTCTTTGCGTTTTTGTTGTTTTATCAAAAATAAATAATAGTTTTGTTTAGTAGCTATAATAATGGTTGTTTTGCAAAATATTTACACATTCTTAATTAAACGTTTTATAATAATTATTGTTATTTTTTTGTAATTAATTAAAAAAAAATAGTAAACAATAAAATAAATAATAAATTTAATGAAATGAAAAATAAAATAATAATAATAATAATAATGTTAAAATAACAAAAGAAAAATGAATTTGGCTTTCTTTGCATAAAAACATAAAAAAATTAAGATTCAATATGATCGATTATTTGGATAATGAGAAGAGATGGTGGGGGTGGTGTAGGAGGAGGAAAATAAATCTTATATAATAATAACATTTATGGGTTTTCGTTAACAATAAAATATATTAGCCAACAGCAGATTTTTAAAATAAAATAATAATTATTTAAAAGAAAAACTAAATAAAAGAAAAACTAAAAATTAAATAAAATTAAGTTTCAAAATACTTATAAATAGCTGTAACATAAGACATTACTTGGGTCCAATCGGGACGTTCGATTTGACACATATCATTGATATTCTGCAAGGAAACAGACATGCACAAACACACAATTAATATTATGATTTATTATATAAATTGATGATGATTGTGAACTTACCAAAGTTGTGGGTATGCCCACCGATTCAGCGGCAGCAAATGCCAATGAGAAATTACGTCTTTTGTTGGCTGGACTTAAAGTATCATAAGGAATGCGATCCGGTAAATAGGAATGTAAAATTGCACAAAATGCCAAGCCATCATTCCAGGACGAACTGAAATTTGTGATGTCTATATTGCGATAACCGACAGTTTTATTTTGACACCATTTCAGCAAAGCGTTGCGCTTTGAACCACCATTTTTGGCCAGCATGTTCAAAGGATCTTTGCGTTCACCTGTTGTTGCAAAAATACAATAACAATTATCTGCATTGAAATTGATATGCTATATGTCTGGCAAACTTACCACTTAGTAGAGATTTGGAAACATTATTGAGACTACTGATGTGTAGATTTGATACTACCGATTGCTGTTGTTGTTGTTCCCTAAGTGGACCCTTGGTTGTTGTTGTGTTTGTCGTCGTCGTCAAAGATGAGACAATGGATGATGTGGTATTGTTGGGTGTACATGTAGCTGCCGTTGTTGTTGTATTTAAGCTGCCAATAATGGGCGTAAGTCTGGAAACCTATTTTGTGATGAGGACAAATGGGAAAAATTCGAAGAAATTAAATAGAAGTGCTTGAGAAAATTATCTACAAATACTTACATTCTCTGACCAGTCTGGATTGTTGGTTGTAGTACTGACTAAGGGCATAGTACTGGGTGTGATTTCAGGAGTACTGCTACTATTTAAGCTAGACGAAGAGCTATAGCGAGACTCGGGTTCTTCGGCTTTGGCGGTCTGAAAAAAAAATAAAATTTGGAATTTAAAAATTAAATCATACTAAAATATTTATAGGAGTCATGTCTATATATTTTTGTAATAAGATTTACAAATTTCTGGATTCCATCTCTATTCATTCACACAAAATCAAAAGAGTACCAATGTTAGTACAATTTGTTACTTTTCGTACATATAAGAACTAATTTCCAAATTGTACTAAATTTAGTATCACTTAGTACCCATAAGTACGAATTTCCTAAATTACCTCAATCCGATCTATCTTGAAATTGGAAAATTAAATGACTGTTGGGGTGATTAAAATTTCAAGATTCCAGCTCCATATCCCACTTGTACCAAATTTTGTAATTTTCGTACCCATAAATACGAATTTCCACAACTACCTCCATCCCACACTCCAACAGTAATTTTTATTGCAAAATTCAGGAGTCCAGCTCTATCCGTTCACACAAAATCAAATTGTACCAAATTTAGTACCGTTTACTTCACATAAGTATGAATTTTAAAAACTAACTTCATATCATAGTTCTACATTCCAAGAGTAATCATTATTCGAAATTTTTTAAGCTCTATCCATATTGTACTAAATTATGTACCATTTAGTACTTATCGTACCTAAAAGTACGAATTTTAAACTATATCAATCCTACACTGTTGGGGTCATTTTAATTCCCAATTTCAAGACTCCCTGTTCACCTAAATCCAACAACTGTTCACCTAAATCCAAATTTAGTACTTTTCGTACCCATAAACACGAATTTCCAAAACTACCTCCATCCTACTCTCCAACAGTACTTTTTATTCCAAAATTCAGCTTCATTCGTTCACACAAAATCAAATTGTACCAAATTTTGTGTTGTTACTTCACATAAGGTCTATCCATATTGTACTAAATTATGTACCCAAAAGTACGAATTTCCTAAACTACCTCAATCCTATACTCCAACAACAGTCATTTTATTTCCCAATTTCAAGACCAAATTTAGTACTTTTCGTAGACTTAGGAACGATTTTTTAAAGCTAACTCAATCCTGTGCTCTAATAGTAATACTAAGTCCTATTTTCAGGATCCCATCTCTATATGCTCAATTAAATGCAAATTTTACCAAATTTGGTACCATTTAGTACTTTTCATACACTAAGTACGAATTTCTAATACCATTTCCATACATCAACACCACTTTCTAACCTGTACACCATATATGTTCAATAAATATACATTTAGAACTAAATTTAGTACTTTTCGTACACCTCTAATTTTCGTACCCTTCTAGTTCGAATTTCCAAAACAACCCAACGCTTCTAGCTTCTGCCGTTTCGTCTGGGGAATGATCAGTCAGTCACTCACTCACTTATCACTTAAGCTCTTCAAACATGACCAGAGTTTGGTACTGAATACAGCAGAAATAAAATCCTCCTGTACGATTCTCCTTTGCAAATTCTCAGTAGGGGGTCACAGAATAATTTCCTCCCATCCGGAATAACAGGTTGAGAACAGAAGTTAGATGCTAATATCCAAGATAATTTGGTCTATTTACCGAGGAGATGGTGGGGAGGTGGTAGCGGATAATGCTGTATTTGACATAATGGTAAAATAGGAATACAAGTCCTCCCCATGCTTTTTATTCGATCCTTCCGTAATCCCGTTGAAACATACAGTTTAGAACAGATGCTACTATGTGGTCTGGTACCTGTTGTATAATCTACTCTTTTAATTTACTCACCTGTTTGTTATTTTCTATACTTTCGATTAAAGTCTTGACAGACAGACGTGAGTCCTGTCGGGAAAAGCTGCCTGCTTTACTGCGTCTGGAGGCCATTTCTTGTTGTACAGACGATAATACGGATTGTTGTGTTTCGGTTTGTTGTTGTTCTATAAAACGGAAAAGAATAAAAAAATTAACATCGTTTAAAAACAAAATATTTTGATAGTTAAATACACATAGAATTTCGAAATTAGAAATCTTAAACATGTTTATGATCAAGGAAAAAAATCAAAATCTTTAAAAATGTTTATTAGTTTTCTAATTATGTATTTCATTGCTTGACGTTTTTAAATTCTATTTGTTTTTTTTTTTTTTGAACTCACGTTGTTTGGTTAATTTCTCAATTTGCTGTTCCAGCATTCGTATCTTCTCCTTTTGCGTCTTATTATCCAATACTAATTGTTCTCTAGCACTTAGGGCTTCAGTCTTAAAATCATTGGCCACCCGCACAGTCATCAGAAGATCCGCCTGGAATTGTTGCCATTCTTCGGCTTCTTGTTTGCGCAACTGTTGCAGATCTTCCAGCTGCTGTTGGGTTTCCTTTAGTTTTCGTTCCATTTCGTTAAGTTGTTGCTGACTTTCGCCGAGCAACGATTGCAGTTGATTTTTGTCCTCCAGATGACATTTACATTGCACTTGTAATTCGTTGGTACTTTCACACAGCTGTTGATGTTCCGCCGATAGTTTTTCCTTTTCCTGTTGCATTTGATCCAAACGGAATTCGAGGTGTGAAAGGGCACATTTCGAATTGTTTTTCGATACTTTGAGCTCTTCGGATAGATCGGCAATTTGGTCTTTTAATCGTCTGACCTCGGCCTGACTGCGTGACCATTGATCTTGGATTTCGGCTACCTTCTCTTCGAGCAGATCTTTTTCTTTGCGTGCCGCATCTAAAAGATCACTGAGATCGGTCTTATCACCCCGAGCCAAATCTTGTTCGAGTTCCTCAATTTTGGATTTGGCATTTTCCAGCAGGGTTGTCAAACGATTGATTTCAATAAGTCCATGTGAAATTTCCTCTTTGGCTGCTTGTAATTGTAGTTCCATTTGTTTACGCTGGGCATGCTCTGCATCTATGGACGATTCGAGGAGAGCAATGCGTTCCCTTAGACGCGATTGATCGGCAATGTGGTTTTCATTGGCTTGCCTTAGTTCCTGTAATTCGGCATTGAGTTCTTCTTGCTTAACCAAAACCGCTTCACGTTCATCCTGGGCCGTTTTGATCAGATCCATCAATTTCTTTTCTCTTTCAGAGGAATTAGCCTCCTCGGCATTGTTTTTGTTAGCATCTCTAAGCAAAAGTTCTTGCAGATTATTGATTTGGGTACGAGAATCGTTTAGTTTTTCAGTTTGTCGACACAGCGATTGGAACAGGACATCCTTTTCTTCGGCTAAACGTTCATTTTCCGTCTGGGCATCACTCAGTTGGGCTTGCAAATCGGAAAGTTCTTGGAGCGTGGCTTGCAATTCTTCATTGGTTGAGTAATGGGTCTCTTCCATTTGTATGATCTTGTCCTGCAGACAGGCTACAGAGATTTCACTGGACGAGGAATGTTTATCCCAGTCCGGGGTGAGGCAAGGAGTACCACCATTGTCGTGTTCTGCAGACTAAAGAAAAACAAGGTGTGAATTAATTGTCATCGATGCGGGTGATGATACATTCCATTACGGTATTACTACTTACTGTTGGTAGAGCAATGGATGCTGGTGCTGAACTATGTAAACGTTGAGAATCTTGTATGATTTGATGTTTTTCCGCATCGGATAAAGGCGAGTTGACAACGTCTCTTAAACGATTTCTCAACGACTCATTTTCATATTTCAAATTTGCAATTTCCAGTTGATTCTTCTCTTGGGCACTCTACATATGTAGAAAAACAAAACAAAAAAAGCAACAACAATAAGAACAACATGACAAATTGAAAACGCCATCAAGTAGTAATTGAAAACCCCGACAAAGGGAATGTCGGCCAAGCGTCAGATATTGTTAGGGTGACATATGTTATACAAAATAAAATCACATTCTGGCAATGGGGAAACTTCCCACCACTTGCACTTGGACAATGTTGAGGAGACAACAAAAACAAAAATTCTAACTGTGTTTTTTTTTTTGTTTTATTTGCTAGAGAACTCATTTGTCGTAGTAAGTCGTTGCTGGTCTAAAGCTGCTTTTGTTTAACGACCGACCGATCTTTCGGTCCGCGTCCGCCCACCCGCCACCAGAAAGAATTTTGATAGATTTGTGGTCAAGTGGTTGATTTGTTATTGAGCTGCTTAACCGAACAGATAGATGGATAGGTAGATAGGTGGATAGACAGCTAGACAGGCAGATATATAGATCTATATTTTCGCTGATCTCAAATGAAATGTTTTCGTTTTGTGGTTTTATGATTGAATGAACATAACAAATGTGTCGGTATTTGAAGTAGGGGAGGGAAGAGGACATATGGATGCATATATACACAAAATTATACAAAACAACAGCATATGTCGTCGTCGACATCATCGTTATTCGTTTTCATAGCCTGTGCATTGGTATATGACGAAGGAAGATTTTGTGTGTAGATATAAAATGGGGACAAATTAAAATATGCCCAAAATTAAAAAGATTTTACTAAAACTCCCACTAAGGAGCAACATATAAGTGCCATTCGGTTCCAAGTAAAATGAATTACTCTCATCTTTATTAACAATTTCAGGGTCGTATGTGCACACACACACACCCAAGTTCTTAGATGTGGCTTTAGAATTTTGTTATATTTGTGGTAAATGATTTGAAATCCTAGATGTGAGTAATGTTGAAAAAAAAGCTCGACAACAATGAGTATTTTCATTCAACGAAACGAAATTGAATAGTGTAACCATTTCAGCAAAAATATCAAATTTAACGAAAATCTCAAAAAGAGGCAAAGGGCAGTATTTTTGTAGAATATTAAAAAATTAAATTTCTTTAAAAATGACATAAAATGACTTATTATTGACCACAATATGTTTCTAGTATATGGCTATTCTAAACATAATCTCTAATTGTGGTACATGTAAACTATTGTTCATACCATTTAAAATATGCTGACGAAAATTACGAAAAATGTGGTCACCACTGTTATTGAAGGTTGGGTTTGTCATGAGTTAATTAAAATATAATATAATTTATCTCTAAATTGAGTGAAATCATGGTCCCCTCAATATTCGGTATTTGAGGTTGGGGTTTTTCAACCGAATTGACTGTAATTTAGTATTTTATTAATATTGATTAAAGATTCGAAATAGCCCCCATATAACGGTACCCCTATATCCGACATTTTGGGTTTATTAGGCACGTTTTTCAACCAAATTTGCTGTAGGTACACTGTTGGCCAAAACTAAAGCAGCTAAAATTGCAAGGTAAATAAATGCCGCATAACTTTTTCAAAAATAAAGATTCGTGTTGGTCTTTCCAGTTTTAAATCAGGTATTTTATTATCTTAAAAAAAACACACAAAAGCATTAATGCAAAATTCATTATGAATTTTTCAATTTTCACTTACTGTCAAAAAATATAAAATAAATAAAAAACGGCTAATTACCAGTGAAATGTGAACATAATTTATCACAGAAAATTATTTCGAAGAAATATTTCATAAATAAATCAGTGATTTCATGAATTGCAATCCGACTCAGTGGAGAACTATTATGCCCTCGGATGCATTAAAATTAAATACTAGAGACTCAAAATAAAATTTGCATTTATATATTTTTTACATGAATAAGATACCTCCTTATTTCTGACAAAAAAAAAATTCTTTTCAAAAAAAGTTACAGTTCATTTATTCAGTTGCTTTAGTTTTGACCACCAGTGTAATGCAATTTTCGCCAACAGTGTACCTACAGCAAATTTTTGGAATACCAAAAGATGGGTCGTTATAGGAATCTTTAATCAATATTAATAAAATACTAAATCGGTTGAAAATCTGATCTTTTCTGATATACTCTCCAACATACTAATATACTCCCGATCAAACTCGGAGCGTTACTGCAACACAGAGTACATCTTTTTGATGTGTATTCCTCACACTGTTATGTTTGATTTGAGAGTTGAGGGTATTATAGTTATTTTTTCTTTATAAAATGCGAATATTAATTATAAAAATTGCACGAAAAAACCATTTGAAAACAATTAAATAAAATGTCCTTTTTAAATACTTGAAACTAAATTCAAATTACCAAAATTTTTGCTTGTCAAAATAAATTGAAATCGAAAAAATAACCATAGTTAGCTATGACAAAGTTGTCATCGATATATTTTCAATTTGTTTAAAAACACTGTGAGACAAGAACGAGGTCATGGACTGAGGGGTGCTAACTTCCTATTGGGGATAAAAGGCGTTGGTGAGTATATGAAAACCCCAGAAGAAAATATTCACAATAGATCAATGTTCGGAAACATTGCGGAATCATTTTTTGCTAGCGATCCTATTACATATGAAGAAATAGCCTTTTATCTTGATTTGTAGCTATTGTATGTACTTTTTGAGATTACATTTGAGTAAAATCGAATGAGGATTATTTGTAGAACATTTTGTCCAGGTTAACAAGGCATTTGTTACAAGAAAAAAACTAAGGGAACTGATGAGGGCCAGTGGCGAGATCCGAAACTATAGTCTTCTCTGCCTTACCCCTTGGTGGACAATGCAATACTTTCCCCACTAACAAATAGTTGTTTTTATAAAAACAACAAACTGGTATTCAGACTGAGACTAAATCGAACTTAACTACTTTATTTCATGTTATAACTACTACTCTTGCCAGACAAAAATATTTATGTAACTCTCCACTTTTACAGGCTTCGAACTTAGAAATTGTGTTTACTGAGATTAATATTTTTGAGCATGAGAAAATACTTTCCCCACTAACAAATAGTTGTTTTTATAAAAACAACAAACTGGTATTTTTGAACTTAACTACTTTATTTCATGTTATAACTACTACTCTTGCCAGACAAAATAATTTATGTAACTCTCCCTTTTTACAGGCTTCGAACTTAGAAATTGTGTTTACTGAGATTAATATTTTTGAGCATGAGAAAATTACTGGACCGACTACACCACCCATTTGGGAGTCGTTTCATTGTCCGAATTCCATTGTCTCTGGTCAATGGTTATTGTGGAGACTCAAATAAACGTTGGCAAGTAAATTAAAATATAGATAAGCGTTACTATAGTATGATTTGTTGCTCATTGATTTTTTCTTCTCATTTCTCTAAACTATAAGGTCGAATTCAGTGGAGCAAACGTGAAATGACTTTGACAAGAACCCAAATTGAATATGAAGAATTTTTACAATCCGTATACGAGAGGCATAGCTGATTGATGTTGAATGCGTTTACGGTTGATGAAAAGGGCCGTCCAGAACAGTCCATTCAGTTCGTCTCGCAAATGGCTAAGAGTGCGGAAGAAATTACACAGTTCATATGATCCCAAGATCGTGCTCTTCGTCGATTCACGGTTTACAGTCAGCGTACCGACTGTATTCAAACGGGGCCTTTTTGATACCTGACCTTTTGCTTTTCCCGACACTTCACACTTGAGGACTTTACCGCGAGCCTGGAGTGTCCTTGTCCTGAATTTAATTTAAAACGTCTTAGCCAAAAGAGTAGTCCAACCAACCTCTGGTATGATTCACCCTTGACAAATGAGAGTGACACCACTGTGGTCAACACAACGGTTTCTTCCATAGGAAGAAGAATTCATGCAGCTCTTCGTTAAGAAGAAGACCTGCAGCTCTGCTATAGGAAGAAGAATACATGCAGCCCTTCTATAGAAAGAAGAGACGTAGAGCTCTTTTATAGGGAGAAAAAGAACTGCCGCTCTTATATAGGAAAATAAGACCTGCAGCTCTTTTATAGGAAGACCTCCAGCTTCCCTATATGAAGAATATCTGCAGCACTTCTATAGGAAGAAGAGGGCCTGCAGCTCTCCTATATGAAGAATACCTTCAGCACTTTTATAGGAAGAAAAGGACCAGCAGCTCTGCTATAGGAAGAAGAATACCTGCTGCTCTTCTATAGGAAGAAGAAGACATCCAACTCTCATATATGAAGAATACATGTAGCTCTTCTATAAGAGGAATTATATCTGCAGCTCTTCTATATGAAGAAGAAGATGTTGAGCTCTTCTATAGGGAGAAAAAGAACTGCAGCTCTTCTATAGGAAGAAAAATACCTGCTGCTCTTTTATATGAAGAAGGAGACCTGCAGCTCTTTTATAGAAAGATTTTGGTGACTTTTTACGTAAATTTTGGTCCTAATATTTTTTTGAACGGCATCTCCATTAAAGTAGATCTTGGTGCCTATAATTTTTTAGAATCTATTGAACATCTATCCAAAGAAATTAAATTAATTTGAATATTTTCTATTCTTACCTGCATTTTGATTATATCATTCTTAAGTTTGTTAACTTCACTTTGATATGGTAATAGTTCAGTTATACGAGATTCAGCCAACATTTTGTCACGTGCCAAACGATCCAATTGAGATTGCAATTCTTGCATTTTGATATTTGAAGCCTATGGAAAATAGAAAATAAAAAAGCGATTATTATTTCAATACGATTTATTTATTTTTTCCAATTTCTACATACCTCCAATATCTGCTGTTGTTCGTTGTTGATAAATTGATAGCTGGCGGCAGCGGCTGCTGCCATAAATGCAGGATTTAGGGCATACAAATCATTAGCTGTTGTGGCAGCAGCATTTCCGGTTGTTGCCGATAGGGCTGGATTTGAATGAGATGTTGATAGGGATGTGGCCGAGCCAGGCTTAACGCTAGAACTTTGAGTTCCCGGTGCTACAGCTGCCATTGAAGTCATTACATCGCCTGTTGGGCCACCTGGTGATGGAGCAACAACTGTGGGTGCGGTCGTGGCAGTTTTGGGGGCAACTGGTAATGGTTTTGGTTGTTTTTGACCTTTCTTCGGTGTTGTACCTTTGTTTTTCTTATGGGGCAAGGTATGGGCGTGTTGTGCCGCGGATGCTGCACCACCACTTGATGATAGTTTATTTGGTTCCAAACTATGATAGCTGTTATTCAAATGATCGTCACCCACATCTACACCACGTTCACTGGACGAGCCTTCAATTTGTATGATGGGCGGTGGATTATCGGCATTGGGATAGAATTTCGATGATGCCGATGCTGCTGCCTGTTGTTTTTTGTCTTCGTTTTCAATGGCAGTGTTTAGGGATTGAGTTGATTGGGATTTGTTGCGATTGTTGTTGCTGCTACTGTTGGAATGTTTAGATGAGGACTGTGAGGGTGTTTGTCCTCTGCGAAAAAGTGATTTTAATTTAATCATATTGGAAAATGTTTTGTTTTTATTTTAAATCGTTGTTATGGAATTCGTTGTTTCAATTTTTATATAAGAAATTTTTATACAATTTCCCCTTTGAATGGTTTTTTGTTGTTTTGATCTTTGTTACAGCAATAAACAAAATGCAATTTCAAGTTTCGGATTTTTATGGAAGAGATCTCATTCCATAATTTTTTTCTTTTCTTGCATTTAAAACATTTTTGTTCGTATTTATTGTGTTAGTTCACTTGTTTTTCTTAAATATTTTATATAAACTTTATCTATATTTGTTGAAAAAAAAAACACAAAAATTAAATAAAAAATTGTTTCCACTGGCTGATGGGTTGGTTGGTGGTATTGGATGACGTTGAAGATTGTATCTAAACACAGCTAACACTGACTGACTGCTGGCTGCACTAAACAACTAAATGTTGAAATGTGATGGGCGGCCCACCAGGTACGTGGAATACATTTCAAAAGCCATGATTTCATTAATTCTGTTGACAAATTTATTAGAATATTGTCGTTGTTTATTTCTTTCGTTTTTTTTTTTTATCGGAGACGACTGGTGTCAGTGTTAACACAGGAAGAAAGAGAAATCCCCTTTCCGACAAATAAAAAAAGTAATAACAGCGTTGTCGTGTAAAACAGTACGAGAAGTGGAATAAGAAGTAGACAAATCATCAAGTCAGTCACAACAACAACAATGACACAAGTTTAAATATAACGAAAAAACAACAACGTCTACGACGACGTGCAATGCATTTTCAAAATTGTGCCCATTCCCTTCACAAAACGTCGTCTTGCAATCGATTTATTTATGTGTTGTCTACTTCTCTGGAGAGGGAGACAGAAAAATCTTATTTGAAGAGAGTCATTTAATACAACAAGCAACAAGAATTGACAATTAATTGAGAGAAATTTCCGCTTTCCTCCATTGAATAATTTAGACAGCATTTGACAATTGTAGTACAACGACAACAACACGAAATAAACATTGAAGATCATTGTTATCAGAGCAAAGATAAGATAGATATGTAGATACAGAACATAGGTTGTTGAGGTTGCCACATTGTTATGAGAGAAAAGAAGAGGGGGAAAATTCGTTTAAGGGAATAATTAAAATTACAAATAAATAATGGCTTATTAAATATTAGGTTGGGGGAAAAGAAATCCATTTTTCGAACAATGTCAGACTTATGCTAGTTGGAAGGGTGACATTTTGCTGTTTTTGTTTAGTGCATTCAGCTGCGAGTTGTAATGTATCCGCCATACAGTCCGAAATTGACACCAAGCGATTATCATCTTTTTCTTGCATTGCAAAATTTTTTTAATGATAAAAAAATGAAATCTAGGGAGGACTGTGAAAATTGACTACTAGAGTTGTTTGCAAATAGAGAGCAGAACTTCTATGAGAGAGGTGAAGTTACCTTTAAAATGGCAACAAATCATACAGCAAAACGGTGCATATTTGGATATGTTATTGTAGGTCTTAATAGGGATTTTTATTGAAACATATACATTTATATTTTTCTCGTCTACAAACAGTAACAAAAAAATGTTGGAAGTATTTTTTCTCAATTCTTGAAAATACATGTTTTCAAATCTTATATAGCCCTTTTTGATATAAAATTGTATACTTCTTAATAATAATATAATGTCGGCATTATATTATTATTAATAATAATATGATGTCGGCATCTGATTTTCGGACCAACAATAAAAAAATTCAAGCATTATTCTCCTAAATTAATAGCATTAAAATGGACCTAAATGGCCAAACATCGGACCAAATTGAAAGTTAATTTGTTTTTCGGACCAAATTTGGGCCAATACGCCCAAAACGGCACGAATGATTGGTACGCTAAGTTTTCCGAAGAGGATGAGGGTAATGTATCGACAAACAAATTAAAAGAAAAAACATTTAGCCCTCTCCAAGAGTCTCATGCAACTGTTTTAGGAAAGAAATAGCTTAAAAGATCACATTTGACGAAAAAAGAGCTGATCTAACAAGACAATGCAAAATCAGTGGGAAAAATTACAAAAAATGGTTTCAGATCCAGTGTTGCCGTTCGAAAAAAAACGGGCCAAAATGTACCAAAATCAGATTTTCTGAACAACATTGAAAACTCAAGTGAAATTCTTCTAAATTATTAGTATAAAAATTAACCGAAATAAACAATCATCCGATCAAATTGAAAATTATTTGTTTTTCGGTTCAAATTTGGTCCGATATATTCAAAACGATATATCGTAATTCGATATTTTAAATTCGTATTTGGTAACAAATCTCCCTACTAAAAATTATGGGGGAGTCCCCTTACAACCCCTTTTTTATATATTATATAAACTCATTTATTTCGAATGTTAAGGGTTGTCCCCATATAAGGGTATTTCACAATAGTATGGTCCATATTCTGAACTCGAAATTGTCAGTTTATATCCGGCCAAGTATGGAATTCTATGACAATTTTGCCATTTCTCTCCGTCTGTTGGTATAATACTACCTTCGGAGTATCGAAATACAAAACTGAAAGGTCAGTATGCTATAGGAGGTGATGCAAATGTGGTATACCCATTTGTTTTTAGATTGCCAAATTTTTATATTTTAACCGATTAAATTGAAATTTTACACTTAACATGCTACATGTGTTGTCTTTCCATGTATCAATTTGAAAATAATATTATTCAAACAATTTAAGAGATATTTGAGAAAATATTTGAAATTCCATTAAAAGTGATTTTAAAAAAAGTGAAGGTAATGTGGTATACCACATGATGTTAATGTGGTATAGTATAATTTTCACTTCCAATTGATATCTTATATAATTTATTGTTTTTAATGAATGTGAATTAGCTCGAGATTTATGTCTGTTAAGATTTTTAACGGATATATTGAGTGGAACATTCATTTTTATTATATAATAATGTCTACACATGGCAATATTTAATTTTCGTACGGAGAAGTAGTTTAAATCCCATGGCCTTTGTTTTCCTTCCTTATGATGCATGGTAGGCTCTCGTAGAGGACAAATGTTTCAAATAGTAATGAAATTTTGTCTTGTGCTGGCTTTTTTTCATACAGACTCCAGGTATACCACATTACCTGCACTTGTGTTCACTGAATAATTGTCTAGTTTTTTTCCTAAATTGGTAAAAATGTGGTGCAATCGCGCATATTATTTGATTTTTAGTACATACTGATTATTTTAATGATTTCAAAATAAAGATTAAAATAAATCTGTAAAACAAAAAATTATTTTTAAACTTCAACCGAAAAAAAGTCAATTTCATGAAAAATTTAATTTTTGCTACTGATTCTCAACGTAAGTTAAATAATTTAAACAGATCATTGCTATCTTATTTTTTTGAGAACAGCAAACTATAAAACATGTTTCAGTTATTCTAAAATTTTCAGTTTACAAAAAAAGTGACTATACCACATTACCAACCTATACCACATTTGCATCACTTCCTATATATCGGTCCACATTTTGTCATAGCCCTATATAATAATTCATCCCAATTTTCGTATTTTAAATCATAAGATTGAGGATTGTATATAAACTAAAAGCTTCAGCTCCAAAATTAGTTATATGGGTTCACAAAAAGGCATAATTATAATTAATTATCAATTCCTCTATTTTACGTTCTAAATTATTATTAGCTATATGAACTACACTTAATTGTCACGACTTTTAAATCCCCTAATTTCCTTAAAACAATTCATTAAACAACTCACATTCTGGTAACACTCATCAAGAACTCTCCGAGTTCATTATCACATTCAATCTATCTCTCTCCCTCTCTCTCACGTCACACTGATAAAAATTCATAGATCTCTGTTGCTCAAATGGCATTCCATACAAACTAAATCATGTTCAGTAAATAGTAAACAAATACCACACATGGTTGTAGATAATCCAAATATGCATTTGTTTACTAAAATCGAAAAAAAACCTGCTTAAAGCCGTTTTGCATTCAAATCAGATATATAAATATAATGAACACCCGTTCGCCCATAAAGGAAGAAACAAGAAAACAGTAGAAACAAATATCTCCATAAATTAGTCTAACTCGTTTTGGTGTTCGATAGATAAATCCCGATAAAACTTGAAAAACAAATAAAAGCAGAGACAACAACAACACCAGCAGTCAGTAAAATTGTAATGACATTTCTTATTTTATATATTATATTTGTTGCGTGTTGTCGTTCGGTCGCTCTCACTTATCTCTTCCCATCTGTTTCTTATAAAAATGCATGCATGCATGCATAATCATAATATCATGCCATACATCAGGCATGCTCGGCCATATACGCTACCGTAACTGAGGGTCGATGGGTAAACACATTTTCTCTTTCTTTCTCTTTACGTCAGTCGTTTTTAGTGGTGAATTCTCAGTTACGCTCGCACACACTTGCTCTCAATTTAATTTTGCCCAACACTGCCATACATGTCGTCGTCCACAATGGTGAATGGAACATGAAGTTGTTTGTAGAGCGGGTAATTGTATCGCATGAATAGAGCTGGCTCTCGGTCTTTGACTATGACTTGTGAGGGCTCGAGTAGATTTATTTATTTATGTAAAACTGTAATTACTCATTGTTGTGTGGTAAATTAGACAACATGTAGAGTGTGAGCGAGTGCGAGTACTTTGTTACTTTCTTAGAAGAGAGCGCAATGGAGTAGAAAAAGTTGGAGAAGTGAAATGCAGCAACAGTTATAACAAAGAGTCAGAGATGGGAGTTGTACAGTTGTATATAAATATTTACAGTGTTGACAACATTTGTTTGCGCCCAAAAGTTCTAAAACAAAATAAACGATGCATAAAAAGGCGTACTGAATGGCAATTCTTAATAGCTAGCGATACATACATAAGGGCCGACATATACAACAGCAAGAGAAAATTCAGCTTCTCACGCCTAATGGTCGTGAGAAGGTACCAAAAGAACTATAGAGAATTTCCGATCGACCGAATTCCTACCTCACGTACGGTTATACGGCTACGCCTTCTGGGACATATATACAAAGGCGATGACAAAGGAAATCC